ATCTGGTGAGATCGAAAAACGAATCTCTTCTTCATGTACTTTCATTCGAAATGAAGGTCCCCCTAACACTTTATTCTAAACATGACTTTCTCCTATTAAAATATCGACTTCAGCACTGGTGATATGTCTGTAAATGCACCTATTCAACGGTTTATCTTGAACGAATATGAGACTATAGCGGCAAAATCTCGATGAATATCACCCTAACAATCTTTATTTTAATATAGCCAGGGCATAAAAACGTGGTCAAGCAGTCTATGCAATTTCGCTAGCTTTCAGGGCGATTAAAATAATAAATTTTGCTTTTAATAGTTTAATCGAAATTGTGAAGTGTGAAGACCAAGATGGAATTGCCTTTAGTATGCTTGTTGACTCTCTTCGTTGTATAGAAGTAATTTGATCTCGTTTCCGCAACTTGGTCGTATTGCCAGGGAGACCGTGAACAACACTTCTTGTCCTGAGTCGATAGTATCCTTGATAACTTCTAGTGTCGGATCATGGTAAGATCCTGCTGAAAAGCATTTGAGATTAACGCTATTTTTTTAATCTATTCATCTCGCCTAATTCTTACCAGCTTATTCTTTATTTTGAACCAATATTATTTGGCAATTGGAGAAGGTAAAGTTTTCTCTTGTGAGGTGGTCAGTTTATGAATTTTTATCATTGTTTTTCTGGCCCTCGTCCAACCATTATCTGCGCATCAATCAAAATTCGACTAAACTCTTCTCCTGCCACGAAATAATGTGATCAGATACTTACCTGGTGAAGACAGTTGAGATCATATATAAAAGTAACTATAATTGAGGATTTCTTGATGGAGATTGATTCATCCTTGCATTTGGAATATAAACTACCTCTTTTATTCTATCACTACATGTATTTACTTGTGTACATAGTAATCAATGCTTTTGTACACTAAAAAACAGGGAATGCGCCTTGGAGCTAGCCGGCACATTACCGACATACATTGTGAGGATATGTGCAAGGAGGGCCAGTCAATCATCAACTTGCAGTATGGCACCAACAAATTGGCAAGTCAGGCAGGCATGCGGATGGGGGGTCAACGGCATATCGCTGACATTCGTTGCGACCAGATCTCGCCAAGTGGTCAGGGTGTGATCAACTTGCAAATGGGTACAAACCAGTTTGCCAGCCAGTCTGGCATGTCTTTTGGTGCGCACAGGCATATAAATGATATGCACTAGAGGTCCATAAGGGGATGCGGGATCCGGGCACAAGGTTGGCGGAAGAATGAGAGGGCGAGGGGAGCACATGGCAAGACTAAGAAGAACAGATGTGGTCGGACAGACAGACAGCGTACATGGACACACATACATACACGAAGGCATACAGACAAGCATACAATTGACATTCAAAGAAAAAGATGAAATACACCGTTTTAGGGAGTTATAAGGATAAAGATGCCTGAGTAAGTGGAACGAGCTGAAATTATTTAACAGAATCCGAAGACACGATCGAGGAGAACAGACAATCTGAAGCAAGATCAACCGACGGCCATTTATAATATTGGCAGATATTCCGGAATGCCGAGCTACTTCAGACATTGTCAACAAGTATCGTCTTTAGTCTGGCATCTCGCTTCAAACGGCCTTTGAAGCCTTGCCTTCTTTTTCTGCGTATTCTCCATTCTCTCCTTATCCTCTGTATTCTCTTTCGTGCATCTCGTCTCTACTTTCGTTCATACCAATCACTTTTTCTAAATTGCTCTTCTTCGATCTGTTGGATGACTACGCCTCTCGTTTAATTGTTTACATTGTACCAGTGAACGTTTCTTTTTCTTTACATTGCCATTCGAGAGGTCTCTTCCAACTCCTTCATACATAAGTCAGTACGAGCAACCCTGTTTCGCCCTTGACACACATTATCATTTACAATTAAACATGCCAAGAATTAAAATAACCGAAATTTATTTTCCAACCTTATCATTCTCAAAACTCTTTTTTCATTGTACCAACAAGATTCCGTGTTATACAAATCGGTACTAGGTCAATTTTCT